ACGTGGGAAATATGAACGGCGGTAATGCTCGAGTCTTTCGGAAGAGGGATTATCCTCCACAACATCAAAACGGAGGCAAGTTTGTGATTTACCACCGAGGCAAAACATACAGGGGCTCTAATTGGACAAAGCAGTTGTATTTTGGCCTGGGCCTTTGCTTATGCATTTCACTCCTTAATTAATGAGAAAGCAAAGTTTTTCCCTTGCTTCATTTTTTTTTTGTGGGAACCAATGCTATGTTTAAAGTAACAGAAAGCCTTCTCCCTCTTCATGTACTACTGAAGTAAAGTAAAGTGCACATTTTAGGCTATTCGTGCATGCAAATTAAAAATAGGTAGCAAAGAAATTTCTACACAACCACATCGACTAACATAAGAGGACCGCACTACCAAAATCTGCAAGCGTAATGGACCATCAATCTCCTGAGGCTAATTTTTGTAAAATGTGGGAGGCGCTACTAAATGGTGAGAAGCCAAAAGTTATGAAGACCGCTTGCCCATGCAAAACATGTAAAAAGATGATAATGACGTAAGTGTTCACTAATTTTTTTACAACACCATAGGATTTATTAACTTAACTTGCAAACAATGTCAAATCATTCATGTGAACTGGTAGATGACCTCCTCCCCTTTGTTACTTATGACACATCGTCCGAAATCGAATTAAGCATAAGATAGCTACCACCCAGTGTCAAGATTACCTGTCCTCACGCCAAATAAGCCATCCATAATTGCAAACCTCACATTATTTCAAAGTAATATACATTCAGGTGGGGAGCGTACCCTCCCCCAGTGTTTGCTTAAACAAGAATCGCGATAAAGCTATAAGCTCATCGATGACCGGTCCGGCCATGGAATAGCATTTGAGGCAAGGTTAGGTCATGAAAGCGAGACATCCCGAGCCCACCCCTCGCGTCCCCTCGCGTCGCCTCCCGCGGGCGACCCGAGGGGAAACCCTAGCCACCGCTCCTCGCACTCTCCTCCGCCTCTCTCCCTCCTCGCCGCCGTCCGCAACGCCGCCGGGCGAAGCCTGGCCGGCTGGGCGGCGGCGGGGCTTCTTACATCCATCTTGTTCTGGCTGGCGCGGGATAGTGGGGACGAGAGGAGCGCCGGGCTAACGTGGGGTTCGGCGGCGCGGCGGCGGGTCTCCCGCCGACGTCGTGAGCGGCTCAGTGGGGGCGGCCTGCAAGTCGCGAGGTGGTGGCTGCGTTCGAACTGCCCGGTGGTCGCGGGTGCCGCCGGATCTGGATCGGATCCATCTGGATCTTGGCTTCGGACTCGGTCGGCCGCCGCGGGGTGATGTTGGTCGTCACGTGTCTGGAGGTCTACAACGGGTTCTTCTGGATCCTCCTTTCCGGTGGGTCGAGCTCCATGGATCTTCCATCTTCACAGGTTTTGGATCGTGGCTTGTCGCCGGATCCGGAGCAGGCGGAGGATTGGTGGCATAGGATGGGGACCGAAGGAAACTTTGGTCGGCTAGGCCGGCCCGGCATCGGCGACGTCACTCAACGCCGTTATCCTCCGTGGAGGCGAAGCTGAGGTCTCTCCTACCCACCTCCGAACCCATCCCGGACGAAAGTCCAAAATTCATTCTGGATTGGGCGGCGGCGGCGTCCTACGCGTCGTATCCTCCATGGAGGCGCCGTCTTGGGAGGACCAGCTGTTCGGGGGAGAGATGATGTGGATGGTGGGCTCCGAGTATCTCCAGCAGTGGCGACGGTGTGGAGGTTGCCGGTGTGGTGCGGCGTTCTATCTTCCGCGTTGATGTCGATGTTTTGGCGGATGGTGCGGCTGCATATCGATGATGGATGCGGCTGGATGGACGAGTGCAGGATGGTGGAGCTGTCTGGTGCCATGGTGTGATCGACGGCAGCGAGACCGGGCAAGGTTGATGCTGCAGTATAGCTCTGAAGATGGATTGGTGGCAGGTGGCTGCGGCGGCCTCATACCCGGCAGGCGTCCTGGTTGAGGAGCACGCCGGACTGGTGGGTGCCCATACCCGACAGACGTCCTGGTTGGGGCCTCAGGTCTTAGATGTTAGGTTTGGCTGCGAGGTCTGTTGGGTAGTAGACCTAGACTATCTGCGCCCCTTCATCAACTGGATAGGTGTAGCGACAGATGTTGCTTAGACAGTGGCTTTAGTCTTACTGTTGTACAACTTCATAAGGTCTTGTGTCAATAATTAATAAAATGGCCGTATGCATCGTCGAGATGCAGAGGCCGGAGGTCTTCCTCCATTTAAAAAAAAAAGGTCATGAAAGCGACGTGCATGCGCAACTTCACTTAAGGGCGAACACAAGGAAGACAGGGGTCATATATCCTAGGTAATCATTCTCGAAAACAATATATCTTGGGTAATCAAGCACCGTAAAGGAGCATGTCACGGTCCACTAATGCCTCTTCTTGGCGGTGGTGTCTATTCAGCTAGATTATCTTCCCAACGATTACCTTTGGCCAGAAGCTGCTGCATGCAAAAGTCGGTGAAGTATTTATATCCGTGTTATGCACTTCTTATGAAGTATCCGCCTCTCAACGATCCACACGCATCTTGTTGCTTGAAGAAAGGTTTATGCATGATCTTATTTTTTTCCTTTTCAAAAAAATGATCTCATTTTCTTTGTTATCCAATCCAATCCGCAGTCTGCTTACATGGGAAACGAAAAGTTGATGATAAAGCGAAAGATATAGATCTTGGAAAAGAGGAACGCAAGAGGAACAAAGAGAGAGAAAGATCAGAATTATTTGTGGACCAAAGGAGGACACAGCTCTGTGTGATAGCACTAGTTGCAAGTGAAATGTTCGATCCTGCGGAATACTTTCACATGTTGGCATGCATCCTCATGCATGCTACTTGCTCTGCCAAGGACTCTCGTCCTCATGTTCCATGCTGAACAGCTTGGGACCAAAACTATCTACCTAGATAGCTAGGCCCTTGATTTGCTTGTGTGGGGGTCAGTTTGCTCCATAATTTTAGTTGTGCGTGGTGGATGCCGTGGGTGTCCGTCATGGGATCAGAAGCTCAGATCAGCGAGAGGTCATCGTCTGCAACTGCAACGGTTGACCTCTGCAGAGATGTGTGCATCATTCCTGCCGGCATAGCGTAGCTCTGGGATCTCGTCAGCATGCTCGATCGATTTGGCAAAGCTGGGCAGAATCTGCCCGCTCCTCATCTTGTCCAACGTTTTATCTAAAGACAGGAGGATAACTGCAAGATTCCATTGAAGAAGAACGGCCAAGTACATAGAAGGTCAGAGACCAAATACAAAGGAAACTAGAAAATAGAGCACGAGCTGAGCTTTGCTCACAGCGTCCTCAACTACCCAAGGCTATCCTATCCTATGTACCCACCTGCAGATCATAGATGGCAGTTGGCATGTCACAGTTAGGCTACATAAGCTCGCTTTCAACTTGTCAAGATCTCCCCAGCTAATAATGCAGACGTCTTGACCTGATTTGGTGCCTGTCTAGCTAAGTACGTAGCTAGGAATCTTGTCTTCTGCAGGTTGCATGTCACAGATACATCCATCACATCTTCAATTGTCTCTGTGTCAGAAGCTCGCGATCGATACGCAGCTCGATCACACACACACACACACACCAGTCAGAGTACTTGCTGTAATCAGAGTACTTTGCGTGCAATCAGATGCAAGTGGAACATGGCTGTTTCCTGTTGGTCAGACTCTGACGGAGCATGCCATGCCAGTATTTTTCCAAACGTGAACATGGAGTGAGTACGATGTGCGCGCGCTTCGTATTTCCCTTAGTGTTCCCGTGAGACCGATTTTGTTTTCCATGGCATTACCTCACAAATCTGAGAGCTGAGACAAGCATTTGGAACAGAGGGAGTACATTGCAGTGGGCACCGTAGTGAACTCTGAACTGAAGAAATAGAGGAGCAGACAGCAGCAGCTGAATGCTAGCTAGCTTCAAAATAGATGTACTGTCGGGAACTAAAATTGGCGTCAAAGTACATTCAACTCCACTCAACAACATCTTCTGCTAACGACCGTCATCCATTGACCCCACATGGCCACATGCATTATCACAAGATACCATGATTACCATCTCTTCTACCTCTGCCCAGCCTGATCAATTTCCAATGGCTTATGAAATTGCTAATGGAGCTCGAGCTCCATGGAGTATATCACACACATATATGTGAGCTATACAAAAGATCACGTATTTCTAGCACATGTACTATTCACTATAGAACTGCATGATTTTTTTTTGCACAGTTCACATCAAAACGTATTTCGTGATGGAAATTTATGCACATGTAATATGATTCTATAAGTAAATGTGTATTTATTCTCAGATTTTTATGAAATTTAGAAAGTTGATTTTTGAATATTTGAAAATTTCGGGCTCCATGGAGCCCGATAGCAAAATCCACTCTCGGTATTACAGTGAGAAAATTGAACACCCTATTTGCAAAAGGAATTCATCCGATCAGCATATATAGCACCCACAGTCCCACACCGCTTACTACTAATATGGTGCCAGACTGCCAGTCACATAACCTTGAAGCTGACGGTTGCTTGCTATGAACTATTCAAGACGTTTATCTGATTGCACAGTTATCTTCATTGTTTGCAGATTAAATCTGAAAGATCTGTGCTGCAAGGTTGATATGAAGTTAAAGCAGAATTGTATGAACCAAGTCTTGTGACCAATTTTGGGCTAATTTTTTCCAACCAGACCAACCCCTTTCCATCAATCTCTAAACGAAAATTACAGTATCTTAAGAGGAAATGGGAAAGACTAGCGAGGAGTTGGTGAACAAGCAGGAAACCCGCTGGAGATGTCCGAATTCGTAACATCTCCTACGGGACAAAAACCTGCTAGTATTGGATAAAAGTTTAAGGTCACTACTTATTACAGGTGAAAACATCAAAACATATCAAATCCCAGGAAATAACCAGCACTACACCCCCGTGAGCAGCAACGGACCACCACCACCCAGCTTCACATGACCATGGCCAGGAGATCTGACTGCGTGCGTCACCACGACCCTTTCAAGGAACAATTGTAACACTTTGAGCGCGATGCCAAATCCAAAATTGCACACCTCGGTGATAGTTGTAGCTCGGAATGAATCGACGGTGCTATGCAACGGGACACTACCACTGAAGGAAAAAAGACAAGATATTTGAAGGATGAGTAATCAACCGGTGACCTAATAAAGCGAAATGGTAGAGAAATAACATTATATACTGTCGTAATCAACTGACTTAGCTGTGTCATGCTTCAACCTAAACTATCAGTGTATGTACTTACATGAACTATAAGTTGATGTATACGGAATGTAAATCAGTATTACTTTGAAAATTTTCAAAGCAAGTAGTAGTTAACCATAAGGTAATTAACTAGAGCTCTTTTTTTAAAAATTAGAGATCGATCGAATCAAGTAGTAGTTCAAAAAATTCGATGTCCAATAGTAGATTGAGTTACCTTATTCAACATGGGCTTGTTGGGATTCATGTCGAGAGCTTTACGAAGTGTAGCCTCCGCAGCCTCCATCTCCTCCTTCCGATCCTTAGAAAAACTCAACCTGATAGTTATCTGTTGAAGCGAAGAGAGGTTCTCCAAGCCCAAATCGAAATACCCAAACTGATGCAAGGTATCCGGCGTTCCGAGATGCAGCTCGAGAATCTGGAGCTTCTGCATGGCTCCCAGTGCAAAAACCACCTCCGCGTGTTGAACGTACCTCAACTCTGTTAGACACCTGAACGGATAGCTGGTAGCACCAATGACTGGCCATGCTTGTCTCTGTCGTGGTGTGTGTCTGCACACATCCATGTTGAGATGACGGAGGGATGGTAAGCAACCAAGGACATGAAGGTCCTCCTCGCCCAATGTGTACAACGAGATTACAATGTATGAAAGACAGGAAAGTGAGGACATCCATCTTGGAACCGAAGAAGCCCTGCAATACGGTGCAATGAAGCGACGAAGCTGCTGAGGTCCCGGTAGCAATAAATTTCCACATTCAGGATCCTCGGTGATACAACAACCATTTACTTTTAAGCTTTGGAGATTGATGAGGCTAGATAGACAGTGATGGAAGGGCTCCTCAAAACTCTTGTTCCATTCAATGACTTTCATATCAAGGCACCTTAGCTCGGTCAGTCCGGACAGTTCAATCAGGACAGATGGAGACATGACAATCACCGATTTCAACTCTTGTAGAGATTTCAGATTCTTAGAGCCATATGGTACTCTTATCCAACTATTAACACGCAGATACACTAGCTGACACAACTGTTCAAAAGTTGATGGCAACTCCTCTATTTCAGTCTCGCCAAAGTCCAATACCTGCAAAAGTTGAAGATTTGCAATCTCTCTTGGGATCTCGGTGATATAGGTTCCATATAGCCACAAGTACCTCAGGTGAAACATATTGCATATAAGCATAGAGTGGCGATCATCCACCTGCTTACAGTTGGTTAAATCCAATGCACTTAAGAGTGGAAAGCTTGAAAGTGGTGGCAACAAAGAAAATGATTTTTTGAACACTGTAAGTGACCTCACATGGGACATGTTCATTGTAGAGAGCACCTTGGCATCTTCTTGCTTGCTAGTATGGAGGGATAGTCGGCGGATCTTTACTGGCAAAGACTCATACTGATGACCACCTAATGTTGTCATAAAATTCTCTTCTTGTGACAAATAAGTGATGAGATCAAGAACCATGTCGTGTACACGACAATGACTTGCCTTCTTTTTTGAAAAACCAAAACCACAATACAATTCACTATTTACTGTCTGGATCAAGCTTCTGTTAATAAGCTCATCGAAATATTGCTCTCCTACTTCATACAAGCTCTCCCCTTGTTTTGGCTGAATAAAACCTTCACCCACCCACTTCCATATTAAATATTTTCTCTTGAATATGCAATCCTCTGGATACAAACTTAGATATAATAAGCAAATCTTGAGATGAGCAGGCAGATCATAGTAGCTAACATATAATATCCGTCTCATGCCATTCACATCTGGATTATTTTCCAGCCCAGTGCCCATTGATTGGTACACTTTGGACCAGTGTGCACTGTCATGTCTTTCTGCCAACAAGCTGGATATCGTAATGATAGCTAATGGCACTCCACCACATTTCATTAAAATTTTCTCTGATACTTCGATCAACTGTTTATGAGGGCATTCATCTTCCTTTCCAAATATTATTTGGTAGAATAATTTTTTTGAGTCCGTGATAGAAAGAGGTTTCATCTCATAAACATCACCATCTTCTTTGGCAACATCTAGAATGCGGGTTGTGGTGATTACTCTACTTCCATACTCATTCTCAATCAAAGCACATCTAATATGTTCCCAGACTGATTTATCCCATATGTCGTCTATAACAATGATGTACCTATGAGGAAATACCAAATGATCATATATATTAGTGGTTGTATTTTTATATGTTCTCATTATTTGAACACCATTGAAATATTTTAAGCAAAACATATTAATACAAAAGGGTGTAATTAGGACTTTGGTGATGGTACCACCTATATGAATCAAAAATTTATTCACGGATGGCTTTCACCACAGAAGAGAAAAATATCAATGTACTATGGACACGGAGTGTATTTTTTTTGTTCGTGCGGTTTAGAAGTGTCGGGCTAGGAAGGCACGCAATAAGATCCTTGTTCCAAGTGACTAATTTTACCCCGTAATTTTGTTGCTGAAGTGCTATAGATAACCCATTTTAAACTTTAATTTAGTCTTTTACAATCTAAGTAGCTCATTCTCCTACATTTACCTATTGAACCATTTTTTTTTTGCATCTTGACACATCTAAGATCCACTTGGTAAAATTTAACGACACATCATGACATACCAGAATAAAATCAGTGAATTATGTTAAGTGTTGAGAAACAGAAGCACATGTATTCAATTCTAGCCTAGACTTGAGCGAGACTTGTCCCTAAAATTCGAAAATTCATGACAATATTATAAATATGCCTACATTGTTTCAATTTTGAAGATTTCACAATATTTAGGGAATTTAAATTTTCTCTTTCTGAAAGCATTCATTAAATACAATCTAGAAATTCAAACAGTTAGGGTACTTTTATATTATAATTATACAAGAATTAGTGTACAAGGATTACTTGCTTTGGAGTTATGGATATGATATTATATTAAAAAAAGATGATCATAGGGGCAGGAAATGTATGAACTAGAAAAGAATTATCTTAGAAGTGTTTAAAGAACAATATAATACAATTGTTAAATCAATACTAATGGTTTTAGCAAAAATAAGAAGTACGTAGTTATGTAAATTATGTTGTCACAATGTTTGTTACAGTTAGCCTAGCACACACAAAGGTTCAAAATAGACGTTAGTAGGCTCATATCGGTTTGGCCTGAAAGACTAATACGAATAATATTGCGGTCAATGATACAAATGGCCATGATTACATATAGGCCATTAGTCTTAACTACCCGTGCTGCTTATTTGATTTCTTTAACATCTAGCCTTACGAGGAACATGCTCACAATTAGTTGTAAGTAACAGAGGAAATGTTGGTTAGGATACTAGCTTACGTTTTATACACAAACATTAATTTAAGGAGGTAATTAGAACTCACGAAGAACATATAAAAAATCCAAGGAGCATGATAAACACATACCTCTTGTTCCGAAGGTATTCCCTGATTTCAGTGATGAGTTCTGCTTCTCCCCAGTTTGACTCGTTGATATTATGATACCAGTTCTTGTCAAGTTGATGGAGTAAGTTCTTGAAGATCTTCTCAATATTAGGAGTAAAAGACACCGAGACAAAAGCCCCACAATCAAAATCCCCTTTAAGCTTCTGATACGCCGCATTTGCAAGAGTGGTCTTGCCCAATCCTCCGAAACCGACAACAGAGACCATCTTGAGTTGCTTCGCGGATGCCTCATCGCCCTTCCTCAACATCTCCACTAGCTTATTGCTCTTCTCTTCGGTGCCAATGAGCTCAGTAGCCTTTTTGTATAAGGCTAGCTGGCGAAGGCTATCGGTGGTTGTGGCGGGTGGCCTAGCAGGAAGGATGTCAACCTTGTATGTCTCACGCCGTTTGCTGACCTCCTTGACCCGGTTCTTGATGTCCCTGACATCGGTGAGTATCTTGTGGCGGATCTTGGCTTTCGTCAAGAGGTTGAGGCTCCTGTTGATGAAGCCCATGAAGGTGTGCGCCTTGTCTAGCCCATCGGTGCGTATACGCACCATGAACTTGTCGACGCTGTCCTCGAGATCGTGCGACAGGTCCCGCACCTCCTTGGCCCAGAGCTTGACCTGGACGTCGGGCGGCTGGTCGATTGGCGCCTGCGAGACCTTGATGAGGGCCGCCTGCATGCTCTCCATCTCGACTTTGAGGAACATGATCTCGCCCCTGGCTGCCCGGTGGAGGCTGTACTCCGCCGAGAGCAGGCTGGCCAGCTTGGGCAGGAGGGTGGGCGTCAGGACGAGCTGCGCCATGCTCGGTCGGCCGCGGTAGGTATCGGTGGGTGGTTGCTGATGTTTGGAGAAGTAGCAATGGAATGGAAGATGTGATGAGCAGCACAACATTGGCCTCGCCTTTTATAGAGGGCACGCACACCACGTACGCAAGCTCGTGGTATATGAATAACTGCACCCGTGATCAAGTGGGTATAGCTAATGCCCACTCGCCACCTTGCCCTCGTGGTGGTAGTATCAAGTGGAGTGGGTCGAAACCTGCCCCGATACATCACGTTATTCGGCACCTAAATTGAATAGGCTAGAGTACATCATATTAGTACTAGACCGTACTCGCAACTAGTAGTAACTAAATCAAAACCTCGAGATATGACTCACCGAACCCGACAGATAGATATAGATGATACACGTGACGGCGCATATCTACGACCAGCGAAGGCACGAAACAGCGCAGAAACCACTCACAGCAAGCATGCATCGACGACGACAAGATCAAAGGACCGGCGACGACCCGCGGACTCGAGCATTAATCCGCATAATGTCAGGTGTCGTAACCACTTGTCAATAATAATGCACGAGAGGCAGCCGCCTCGTCCCTCAAAGCTGAATAATAGTACTCGTACGTAGTTGTGTTCCCCGCATCCGGCAAAGCACTTTTGTACCCAGGGCCCCTTTTTTAACGCCGGTGTCAAAAAATCGGCCGAGTCCCGCGCTCATGCCTTGTTTATCGCCGGTTTGGACTGAAATAACAGCCGGCGAATCCGAGCCAAACCCAAGCCTCCGGGGGTTGTCTGGGGCGCCGGCCGAAGTGAAAGGGCGCGTAGGTCCGCTCTGTCGGCGAGAGAAGACCCTTTTTCCCGCCGATCCCCCCGCTTTTCCCCCTTCGTTTCCCTCCATTCCCCCCTTCTGCCCCTCTTCTCCCGCCATTCTCCTTCATCTTCCCTCCATCCGGCGGCCATGCCGCTGAAGAAGTACACGGCCCCTCGCGCTACCGATGCCGATGCCACCCAGTCGAAGCAGAGGAAGCCGAGGGCACCGCCGTCCAAACCACCGGGCATGTCGAACGCCGACTGGAAGGCCGAGGTTCAGCGCCGGGAGGCTGTCACCACCGACCGGCGGAACAGGCTCAACGCCAAGAAGGCCCGAGACAGGGCGGCGACTGCGCCGCCGTTTGATGCATTGCCTTGCCTACGCGTCCTTCCTTTTGAACGCCGAACTTTCGTTATTGATTGCCGAACTGTGGCATGGTGATCGCCGAACTGACGTCGGACTTGTGGCGCTGACCGCCAGACTTGTGGTGTTTTTTGGGTAGCGGGAATGACAAGTTTGAATTTATGACGTCTTGGGGGCGGCACCTGGGGTGTGGCTGGGAACTAGATCGCCCCCCAGGGCCAAAAAAGCGCCAGCCGAAGGGCCAAAATAGCGTCGGACGGTGCGTTGGGGGGCCGAACGAGTGGAGATGCTCTAAGACCAATCGAGCTAGATGCCACATCCATTATCTGGTCTGCCTAGGATAGCCCCCTCACGTTGCAAAAGCTCGGCCTTTATTTCGGCACCCGGTCAAACACCTTTTTTATGTATCCAGTGGTTGTTTTATTTATAAAGTGAGATGAAAGCCTATTTCAAGAGATAATTGTGTTCCTCAAAAGCGATGCTCTGGCTTCCCATTTTATCACTATAGGGCTAGGTAGTAAGAGAAAGAAAATAAGACTACCTCTTTACACCAAGATGATGGTTTAGTGCAGGGGATGCTGCTGCTATTTTTCTTAAATGACATTGACTCATAATGTCACCACATAATAAACACACACTTGATCTCTGCATAACTAAAATGCACACAATCATCAGAGACACACACATACACAACAATATGTATGGAGAACTAGTAAAGTCAAAGGAGACACAAAACTATGTTAAGGCATCGGTTGGGGAGGGCCAACCCATAGATGATCCCGCTGTCCATGTGGAGTAAAAATATTCCTCGCAACTTTCTTCAATCACAAGTTAATCGCCATAAATAGTTGGCGGTGTTTCTATGGAATCATTGGGCCCAAGCCTATGCTTGTCTCCGGCACTAATTTCAATAAAATATGGGGGTGAAAAGCGAAAAGTTATGAAGACCGTTTGCCCATGCAAATCATGTGATAACGAGATAACGACGTAAATGGTTTCTTTACAGTACTCCTACCGTAGATTTTCTAACTTAACTTGCAAACATGGTCAAATCATTCGTGATATATGGTCAAATCATTTTAGATGAGAAGGACCCCCTTTGTTACTTATGACACCCAGTCTGAAATCAAATTAAGCATAAGGGCATCTCCAACGCCGACCCTCAAATCGGACATTGTATCTGTCCGTAGACCGGTGGAGAGCCGGCCATTCAACCCTGTACCTCGAATATCCACTTCTGTTAAACCTAATCCATGCTCAGCTAAATAACCTTCCGCCAAATATCTTTGGCCAAACATGTCAAAATAACCATGTGATTATCTTTAAAAATAACAATGATGATTAGTGGCCTTTTGTCTGGGGAAGACTACTAATCCATGTGATAGCATAGCTTCCGTCAAATGCTTCAACATTTGAATTAGCTTCCGTCTAATGAAGCAAGTAGGTTCCGCGAAATGAAGCACAAACTTGTAGCTTGCTTAAGCATTTGAACTAGCGTCCGCCAAATGAAGCAAGTAGCTTCCGCCAAAGGAACTAGTAGCCAGCCTGCTTGCTTTCGCCCAATGAGTATTTCAAGAAAAAAAATGAAGGAAACAAAATTTGTGAAACAAAGTGATTAGTGGCTTATGCCAAACGCCAAGCATATGCTAATCCCTCCATCAAACTGCATCAGTGGCCTTCCACCACCTGGACCGAGAGGAGAGGGTACATGGTGGCTTTTTATTCGTCATGTGGATGTCCGGACTCCCGCAAAGCTTCCTGATTTGTTTTCCGTTTGCGGAAAAACGGACATCCGGACGCATCGATGGACCGATAGGGTACTCCGTTGAAGGGCAAACTGTGTTCAAACAGGTCAGTCCAAATGGCCGCGGGCGGTTTGAGAGTCCGCTTTAAAGATACCGTAAGGGAGCTACCATACAGGTGTTGAGATTACCTAACCGCACGGTCGATTAGCATCTATAAAATTCTCATGGTCCATGCATGCTACTGGCTCTGCCAAGGACAGTTTCTATGCCATCTCGTCGTCATGTTCCATGCTGAACAACTCGGGACCAAAACTACCTAGCTAGCGAGGCCCTTGTTTTGCCTGTGTGCGGAGGCAGCTGGCTCCAAGAATTGTTCGTGTTTGGTGGATGTCATGTCATGGCCCATGGCAGTCTGTTTCGGCGAGGTGAGGTCGTCGTCCGCAACTGCATCGACCAATGACAAAATTTCTTGTTTTGACCCTTTTCGCATACCAATTCAGGATCCGACCTCAGTTGAATTTTTTTCGTGATTTGAACCTTTCGCTACCGCCAGGTGTGCTGGCGATAGGGTTAGCCAGCCTACCGCCAGGGTCCCTGGCGGTAGGATGCGACGGAGGGGGACGACGGCCGTCTTCACATGCTGACGTGGATTAGCACCCTACCGACAGTGACCCTGGCGGTAGGTTGTATAACCCTACCGTCAGCACCCCTGACGGTAGGATGTGGCTTGGGTTTTTGCCTCTGAAGGCTTTTGTAACGAAAAATCGCCGTCGCGTGGCGGTAGGTTCAACCTACCGCCGGTGGTGTTGGCGGTAGGCTATCTGAGCCTACCGCCAGGGTCCTTGGCGGTAGGGTCCTGTGTTTGCTTCTTTCCAAGTTTAATTGCTTGCTTCTTTTCAAAAACAATATCACAACAATGATATAGAGTAAAAAAAAACAGATCTCAAACAATTAAACTTGGGCATCACATACACATTAATAAAAGTTGAACTAAATAGACATGTCAAACGGAGTTCCATATAAACTTGTGCATAATAAGCAAACGGAGTTCCACATAAACTTGTGCATAATAAGCAAACGAAGTTCAACTACTTAGTTCCACATAGCAAATGGAGTTCCACATAGTTTCACAAATAGCAAACACATAGTTCAAATAGCAAACACATAGTTTCACAACCACTAGACAACCCAACTATAAGAGCCAAGTATTCAAGAGCAGAATTTAATTGATCCTTCCCCTCGTGGAGGTACGGTCCTTGTTCCTCTGTGAACGAGTCTCTTCAGTCTTCTTCTTGGGCCGTCGAGTAACTGGTCTCTGGAAAGGGTCCAGACTTAGCAAATCCTTCTTCTTCGGATTCCTCTTCGGCAGCTGGGATGGTTGAGATGATTGAGTTGGTGGAGGTCCAATCTTCATCGTACTCCTCCTCCCCATTGCTCTCATCCTCCTCTTCCTCATGATATGCCTCCTCCTCCTCTTCTTCATGTGTGGCCTCCTCCTCCTCCTCCTCCTCCTCCTCCTCAACCAACCTAGACGACGAGGGAACATGGCTCGATGAGCCGATGTGACCCTGTGTGGCTGCAGGATGATAAGCTTCAACCGACCCAGCTCCAGCATACCCAAGCAGGCCTACCAGTTTGCGACAACACTTCACAAACTTCTGCACTCACAATGAAACAAGGACATAATAAGTATCAGATTTATGATTGCAAATGAACAAGATGCATCTGTTCCGAGGAGGCTGGAATTGTACCTTCATCGCCCCCTCAATTTGTTCTCAGATTGTACGTCCCGGGGATATCACCTAGTGCATCTGAGGCTTCAATGATGCATCTGTTCAGCTCACCAAACTGTAAAGGCATAAGTCAGTCACGATGACGAATAAAATAATTTAAATACAACCGTCGGTTCAAACTTACCACTCTGTTGATGAGGGGTGCAAACTTCCTAAATCCACTATGCATGTCTCTGATGCGGTCTGGTAGGCCTGTTCCTCGGGGTCTTCCCTCTCCAGCTCCGCGATGTCTTCCGCCGTCCACCGAGGCCTGAGACGAAGATGATGCTTTCGGCCATCATCGTACCACCTCATGTGTTGGTCCTCGTAA